TTAAGACAAATAGTAACAAAAGAACGTGAAAAGGTGTAAATTAAAAGGATGATTTTAGATTTACATGGTGTAATTGCTGATTGAGGCAAAGTTCTCAATCAGCAATTACACCATGTAAACCTAAAATTATCCTTTTAATTTACACCTTTTCACGTTCTTTTGTTACTGTTAATTTTGTCTTAATTAGCATTTTTATCTACTTATTATTCAACTTGCTTTGTAATCATTCAACTAAAGATGACAGAAGTTCTGTTGAAACATGTCTTGTAAACTTAAAAAATTGGTCATTTTCCTTAAAATATTTTAATATTAAGTCGCTAATATTAAGTACAGGATCTTTGCAAAGATCCTTTAGGTTCTTGTCAGGACTCTGGAAAGAATGACAACCAACGGTAACTCTGCTGGTAACAAGAAAATCATTTCTTTAAATTACGGATTTTGACACAAGAAGATCTATTTTGGAAATTTCACTGGAAGTCAAGACAAATTGACAAATAGGTCCCTTGCCATCATGTGACCTACTTTTTATAAAATTATAGGCTATAACTAAAGAATGACAGAAATGGAAAAAGCATGTTGTAAATAAAAATGGTCAAGTTTGAGGCCCCTGGCATTAAAGGATGAGATTTTATGACCGTTTGAACTTTTAAAAAAATTAAGAAGATTTGTATGGAAAAAGTTATTAGAGAGTAAGACCTTGCTCTTCAGCAACATTTTCCATAGATGTCCTATGAATTTTCCAAAAATTCAAACTGTTGTATAAACTTAGCCTTTAATGCCAGGGGCTTCAAACTTGGCCAGTTTGGTATTTTCGATATGCTCTTTTTTATTTCTGGCATTCTTTAAGTTATAACCCATAATGTTTTAATTTTTTAGAAAAATTTGGTCATGTGACCCCAGCTGCAAAGGGCCTATTATCAAAATCTAATCAGGCACATATTGTAAATGAAGCATTGTTTCATTACCTTCTGAATGAGTACCTAGGTTCACAAAAGTATGCCAGAGGATCAAAATTACAATTCCATGTAATGACTATCGCCATGACCCCGCCCTGAAAATGAAGTTAAAAAGACCATGCGTTAGAGTGAAGATTGTTGGACTGTTCCCTCTTGTTAAAGATTGTGATTTATGTTTGAAAACTTAATTAGCAGCACATATATAGCAGTATATTTAACATTTATTCCACAAGCTATGCATTGGTATGTGCATAGCGCTAAGTTGGCTATAATTATCTCATATCCAAAAAGTGCGAGTGGAGTAATTGCTTTATTGAAAACACCCCCAAAATAAAGCAAATTAGAAAACAATTAAAATAGGAATGCCCTCAAAAATAACGTGCTTTACACCATGTTTGTAGACACGGTATATTGCTCGTTTCCATATGGCTAAGCCAATGAAAACTATTGATTAGAATTGCATTATCCAGTGATCCAGTTTTTAATATTTAAAATAGTTTTTAAGTGTATAACACGCACTTGCAGCTTTTGAATATTCAGTTTTACTACTTAAGTACCATATTTGGAATCGTGAAGAGTTGAAGAATACACCTTTATGCAATATTTTTGGTTTAGTGCTGAGTTAATACCTGAATTCTGACCTTTATGTYGTTAATGTCTCGAAGAAACTAAAGAAAATCATTGAGAATCTAGGTGAAATTCTCCAAAGTACTGATGACAATAGACAGAATTCAACCAAATTTAACATCTTTCAACTTGTCACAAAATGTGTTCAACATCTACATGCATGTAGCACGAGCTTGTATATGCTGTAAAATTACTACAAACTGTATCTGCAAAGAGAAAGATCTTTGGAAATTCTTTGCGCAAAAATTTTGAATTTTGATATGTGAGGTACATGACTTAGTGCAGGCAGTGGTAATTGTTTGAATACTTGATTTTATCTCTCGATTTTCTGAATATAGTAATTAACAAAACTGAACAATTGGAAGCCTGTCTTTAAGGGCACAAGGGGTAGTTACACAGTTAAACTTCTCATGAGTTTCTCTATACACAACGGAGAGTACCCTTCAGGGAATCCCCCTAGAATGTAAAAGTTTACCTTGTAAGCTATATCGTCAAAGTCAACATGTGCCAGTTCAACTATCTTCCCAAGCTTGAATATGGGACACAGGAGATCAGTGTCAGGATTGTAATTACAGGTCTTTAAGTAGGTTGCATTATCAGTTTGGATGTTTCTCCTGCAATGAATGAATGA